AAGGAAGAAGCCACTGCTCCAAAACCGCCATAAAAAAGCCAGACTACGGTTTGCAACTGCACATGGGGACAAAGATCGTACTTTTTGGAGAAATGTCCTCTGGTCTGATGAAACAAAAATAGAACTGTTTGGCCATAATGACCATCGTTATGTTTGGAGGAAAAAGGGGGAGCTTGCAAGCCGAAGAACACCATCCCAACCGTGAAGCACGGGGGTGGCAGCATCATGCTGTGGGGGTGCTTTGCTGCAGGAGGGACTGGTGCACTTCACAAAATAGATGGCATCATGAGGAAGGAAAATTGTGGATATATTGAAGCAACATCTCAAGACATCAGTCAGGAAGTTAAAGCTTGGTCGCAAATGGGTCTTCCAAATGGACAATGACCCCAAGCATACTTCCAAAGTTGTGGCAAAATGGCTTAAGGACAACAAAGTCAAGGTATTGGAGTGGCCATCACAAAGCCCTGACCTCAATCCTATATAAAATGTGTGGGCAGAACTGAAAAAGCGTGTGCGAGCAAGGAGGCCTACAAACCTGACTCAGTTACACCAGCTCTGTCAGGAGGAATGGGCCAAAATTCACCCAACTTATTGTGGGAAGCTTGTGGAAGGCTACCTGAAACGTTAGCCCAAGTTAAACAATTTAAAGGCAATGCTACCAAATACTAATTGCGTGTACGTAAACTTCTGACCCACTGGGAATGTGATGAAAGAAATAAAACCTGAAATAAATCATTCTCTCTACTATTATTCTGACATTTCACGTTCTTAAAATAAAGTGGTGATCCTAACTGACCGAAGACAGGGAATTTGTACTAGGATTAAATGTCAGGAATTGTGAAAAACTGTATTTGGCTAAGGTGTATGTAAACTTCCGACTTCAACTGTAAGTAGTACTTTAAAGTATTTTTACTGAAGTACTTTACACCACAGGTAGCTAGAGCGACTAGAAGAGATGTTGTTAGAGACTAAGAACATATGAAGAGGTTGTTAGAGACTAAGAACATATGAAGAGGTTGTTAGAGACTAAGAACATATGAAGAGGTTGTTAGAGACTAGAGACTAAGAACATATGAAGAGGTTGTTAGAGACTAGAGACTAAGAACATATGAAGAGGTTGTTAGAGACGAGAAATGTAGAATATGTGTTTTTTTTTTAGAGAGAGGATGTTAGGGAGACTTAGAAGAGATGTTGTTAAGGGAGACTCGAAAGTCTGGTTCACGGTCTCAGAACTCATCCAGACACTACTCCCCCCGACGGCAGAGATTTGTCTGGTTCACGGTCTCAGAACTCATCCAGACACTCCCCCGACGGCAGAGATTTGGTCTGGTCCACGGTCTCAGAACTCATCCAGACACTCCCCCGACGGCAGAGATTTGGTCTGGTTCACGGTCTCAGAACTCATCCAGACACTACTCCGACGGCAGAGATTTGGTCTGGTTCACGGTCCCAGAACTCATCCAGACACTCCCCCGACGGCAGAGATTTGGTCTGGTCCACGGTCTCAGAACTCATCCAGACACTCCCCCGACGGCAGAGATTTGGTCTGGTCCACGGTCTCAGAACTCATCCAGACACTCCCCCGACGGCAGAGATTTGGTCTGGTTCACGGTCTCAGAACTCATCCAGACACTCCCCCGACGGCAGAGATTTGTCTGGTCCACGGTCCGTTGAGGCTGCCATGCCATGCGAATTCAAATTTTCCTCTTGGGCTCACGGTCAAGAATTTTGGTTTATCCCACGGGAGACCGTAGTTCAGATCTCGCCCGTGACACACACACACACAAAGACAGCATTATTTATTTAACAAGAGTTTTATTAAAATTATAAGGTACAAATAAAACAAGAATCATCAGGTTCAAAGCAATGACATGTTTCAACAGCAAAAAGCTCCCAACACCCCCCCCCCGGCCCTCTTCATTGTAAATGAGGTACAATAGCACTTTATAAATGACCACCACGTGTACTAAACAGCTGGAATGGTAAGAATAACCCACGGCCAATCACAAACCCACCCCTACCCCCCCGATAGGGAGTAGGGGATAGAGGTGCAGGGGTGTATTTGAGATCAGACGCCTCTCCAGGGTAGCGAAGCACAAAGGTGGAGTAGATGAGCCCTGATGTCCCGTAGAAAAAGACCTGACAAGACGATCCAGAGCAAAAAACAGCCAGGTGATCTAGACCTGACTAGACGATCCAGAGTAGAATAGCCAGGTGATCCTGACGATTCAGCCGGAGCAGCCTCGGCAGCCACAGTGGGTACACTCGATTATCCTCCCCTGTAGAGAGACAGACAGGCAGGGGTTAACAGACTTGGGGGGGAGGAGAAACAGAAGGGTTAACAGACATGTTGCAGTACTATCGTGTTCCATGTTGCAGTACTATCGTGTTCCATGTTGCAGTACTATCGTGTCGCAGTACTATCGTGTTCCATGTTGCAGTACTATCGTGTTGCAGTACTATCGTGTCGCAGTACTATCGTGTTCTGTGTCGCAGTACTATCGTGTTGCAGTACTATCGTGTCGCAGTACTATCGTGTTCCGTGTCGCAGTACTATCGTGTCGCAGTACTATCGTGTTCCGTGTTGCAGTACTATCGTGTTGCAGTACTATCGTGTTGCAGTACTATCGTGTTCCGTGTCGCAGTACTATCGTGTCGCAGTACTATCGTGTTCCGTGTTGCAGTACTATCGTGTTGCAGTACTATCGTGTCGCAGTACTATCGTGTTCCATGTTGCAGTACTATCGTGTCGCAGTACTATCGTGTTCCGTGTCGCAGTACTATCGTGTTGCAGTACTATCGTGTTCCGTGTTGCAGTACTATCGTGTCGCAGTACTATCGTGTTCCGTGTCGCAGTACTATCGTGTTGCAGTACTATCGTGTCGCAGTACTATCGTGTTCCGTGTCGCAGTACTATCGTGTCGCAGTACTATCATGTTCCATGTCGCAGTACTATCGTGTCGCAGTACTATCGTGTCGCAGTACTATCGTGTCGCAGTACTATCGTGTTCCGTGTCGCAGTACTATCGTGTCGCAGTACTATCGTGTTCCATGTCGCAGTACTATCGTGTCGCAGTACTATCGTGTTCCATGTCGCAGTACTATCGTGTCGCAGTACTATCGTGTCGCAGTACTATCGTGTCGCAGTACTATCGTGTTCCGTGTCGCAGTACTATCGTGTCGCAGTACTATCGTGTTCCGTGTCGCAGTACTATCGTGTCGCAGTACTATCGTGTTCCGTGTCGCAGTACTATCGTGTCGCAGTACTATCGTGTTCCGTGTCGCAGTACTATCGTGTCACTGTACTATCGTGTCGCAGTACTATCGTGTCGCAGTACTAGTGTGATGCAGTACTAGTGTGTTGCAGTACTAGAGTGTCGCAGTACTAGAGTGTCGCAGTACTAGAGTGTCGCAGTACTAGTGTGATGCAGTACTAGTGTGTCGCAGTACTATCGTGTTCCGTGTCGCAGTACTATCGTGTCGCAGTACTATCGTGTTCCATGTCGCAGTACTATCGTGTCGCAGTACTATCGTGTTCCGTGTCGCAGTACTATCGTGTTGCAGTACTATCGTGTTCCATGTCGCAGTACTATCGTGTCGCAGTACTATCGTGTTCCGTGTCGCAGTACTATCGTGTCGCAGTACTATCGTGTCGCAGTACTAGTGTGTTGCAGTACTAGTGTGTTGCAGTACTAGTGTGTTGCAGTACTAGTGTGTCGCAGTACTATCGTGTTCCGTGTCGCAGTACTATCGTGTTCCATGTCGCAGTACTATCGTGTCGCAGTACTATCGTGTTCCGTGTCGCAGTACTATCGTGTCGCAGTACTATCGTGTTCCGTGTCGCAGTACTATCGTGTCGCAGTACTATCGTGTCGCAGTACTACAGTGTCGCAGTACTAGTGTGTTGCAGTACTAGTGTGTTGCAGTACTAGTGTGATGCAGTACTAGTGTGTCGCAGTACTAGAGTGTTGCAGTACTAGTGTGATGCAGTACTAGTGTGTTGCAGTACTAGAGTGTCGCAGTACTAGTGTGTTGCAGTACTAGAGTGTCGCAGTACTAGAGTGTCGCAGTACTAGTGTGTCGCAGTACTAGAGTGTCGCAGTACTAGTGTGTTGCAGTACTAGAGTGTCGCAGTACTAGTGTGATGCAGTACTAGAGTGTCGCAGTACTAGTGTGATGCAGTACTAGTGTGATGCAGTCCTAGTGTGTTGCAGTACTAGAGTGTCGCAGTCCTAGTGTGTTGCAGTCCTAGTGTGTTGCAGTCCTAGTGTGTTGCAGTACTAGTGTGTTGCAGTCCTAGTGTGTTGCAGTACTAGTGTGTTGCAGTCCTAGTGTGTTGCAGTACTAGAGTGTTGCAGTCCTAGTGTGTTGCAGTCCTAGTGTGTTGCAGTACTAGAGTGTTGCAGTACTAGAGTGTTGCAGTACTAGAGTGTTGCAGTACTAGTGTGTTGCAGTCCTAGTGTGTTGCAGTCCTAGTGTGTTGCAGTACTAGAGTGTTGCAGTACTAGAGTGTTGCAGTACTAGAGTGTTGCAGTACTAGTGTGTTGCAGTACTAGAGTGTTGCAGTACTAGAGTGTTGCAGTACTAGAGTGTTGCAGTACTAGAGTGTTGCAGTACTAGTGTGTTGCAGTCCTAGTGTGTTGCAGTCCTAGTGTGTTGCAGTACTAGTGTGTTGCAGTACTAGTGTGTTGCAGTACTAGTGTGTTGCAGTACTAGTGTGTTGCAGTCCTAGAGTGTTGCAGTACTAGTGTGTTGCAGTACTAGTGTGTTGCAGTCCTAGTGTGTTGCAGTACTAGAGTGTTGCAGTACTAGAGTGTTGCAGTACTAGAGTGTTGCAGTCCTAGAGTGTTGCAGTCCTAGTGTGTCGCAGTACTAGTGTGTCGCAGTACTAGTGTGTTGCAGTACTAGTGTGTTGCAGTACTAGTGTGTTGCAGTACTAGTGTGTTGCAGTCCTAGAGTGTTGCAGTACTAGAGTGTTGCAGTACTAGAGTGTTGCAGTACTAGAGTGTTGCAGTCCTCACCACTTCCAGTTTGCTCTTGGGGACTCTACAGATGCAGTTAGTTCCAAAGTTGGTGTCTCGTGTCTGGATGCAGCGGAGGCAGCACAGGTTCTCATATCCCTGCTTCTTCCACTTCGCTATCAGGTTCTTATCAGCATAACTCTCCTTTATACAGTAGTCATACAGCTCTACACACACACAGAGAAAGAGCATTATACTTCACCCAAAATAACCCAACCTAACATTAAACCCTGTCTTGGAGGTTCCTACTGCATATACACACCCACACACAAACACACACAGAGAAAGAGCATTATACCTCATCTAAAATAACCCAACCTTTAACATTAAACCCTGTCTTGGAGGTTCCTACTGCATATACACACACACAGAGAAAGAGCATTATACCTCATCTAAAATAACCCAAACTAACATTAACCCTGTCTTGGAGGTTACTACTGCACCTCTGCTGATGGCCTTCCTCTTGTAGAACAGGTCGAAGATATATCGGCTCCGCTGATGATGCAGTCTGAATATCGGCCACAGGGACTCCACCTTCCGCTTTCCCTCGTGAGGCTCCGTCTCGGCTGGAAGGAGACAGTCGCAGCTCGTCATAAACACAATACAAAACAGGAATAATCCAAGATTCACATTCATACATCAACTTTATATTGTAGCTAGCTAAGTAGCTACTAGTTGGCGGGTTGATTACCCTAAACTAGCTAAACTGAACAACAATAATAAACACGGCATGTAAAAGTGTTGGTCCCATGTTTCATGAGCTGAAATAAAATATTTAAAAAAAGGCCAGAAATGTTCCATACACACAAAAAGCTTATTTCTCTCAAATGTTGTGCACAAATTTGTTTACATCCCTGTTAGTGAGCATTTCTCCTTTGCCAAGATAATCCATCCACCTGACAGGTGTAGCATATCAAGAAGCTGATTAAACAGCACTATCATTACACAGGTGCACCTCGTGCTGGGGACAATAAAAGACCACTAAAAATGTGCAGTTTTGTCAAACACAATGCCACAGATGTCTCTAGTTTTGAGGGAGCGTGCAATTTGCATGCTGACTGCAGGACTGTCCACCAGAGCTGTTGACAGAGAATTTAATGTTAATTTCTCTACCATAAGCGGCCTCCGTCGTTTTAGAGAATTTGGCATTATGTCCAACCAGCTTCACAACCGCAAACCATGTATAACCACACCAGCCCAGGTCCTCCACATCCGGCTTCTTCACATGCAGGATCGTCTGAGACCAGCCACCCGGAGAGGTGATGAAACTGTGGGTTTGCACAACCGAAGAATTTCTGCCCAACCTGTCAGAAACAGTCTCAGGGAAGCTCATCTGCGTGCTCGTCGTCCTCACCAGGGTCTTGACCTGACTGAAGTTCAGCGTCGTAACCGACTTCAGTGGGCAAACGCTCACCTTCAATGGACACTGACATGCTGGAGAAGTGTACTCTTCATGGATGAATCCCGGTTTCAACTGTTCCGGGCAGATGGCGTCGTGTGGGCGAGCGGTTTGCTGATGTCAACGTTGTGAACAGAGTGCCCCATGGTGGCAGTGGGGTTATGGTATGGGCAGGCATAAGCTATGGACAACGGACACAATTGCATTTTATCAATGGTAATTTGAATGCACAGAGATACCGTGATGAGATCCTGAAGCCCATTGTCGTGCCATTCATCCGCCGCCATCACCTCATGTTTCAGCCTGATAATGGACGGCCCCATGTCGCAAGGATCTGTACACAATTCCTGGAAGCTGAAAATGTCCCAGTTCTTCTATGGCCTGCATACTCACCAGACATGTCACCCATTGAGCATGTTCGGGATGCTTGGATCGACTTGTACGACAGCGTGTTCCAGTTCCCGTCAATATTTAGCACAGCCATTGAAGAGGAGTGGGACAACATTCCAAAGGCCACAATCAACAGCCTGATCAACTCTACGTGAAGGAGATGTATCGTACTGCATGAGGCAAATCACCAGATACTGACTGGTTTTCTGATTCACAGCTGTAACATTTAAGGTATCTGTGACCAACAGATTCATATCTGTATTCCCAGTCATGTGTAATCCACCGATTGGGGCCTGATTGATTTATTTCAATTGAAGGATTTCCTTATATGAACTCTAACTCAGTAAAATCTTTGAAATTGTTGCATGTTGCGTTTATATTTTTTGTTCAGTGTAGTTACTTAGAAGCTAGCTATCTAACGTCAACATTTTGGCCTTGATTTTCGAGGTATCTGAACAATAACACACAATACAAAAAAGATAACATACAGACAAGGGACATAAACTTAACGCAAACAGGGGTAGACATCTGGCTGTACGCGCAGCCTCATTCGGTATGGAGAAGTTAGTTAGTCACAGCTCGTCATACAATAAAACAGGAATGATCCAAGTCAGATTCACACAACAGATTGGTAATATAGCTAACATCATAAGTACTGGTTGAATACCCTAGCTAACTAATGTCAACATTGTGTGGGCAAGGATGTTAGCGGAGCCTCGTTTGGTACGGGCGGAGTTAGCTAGCTAGGTGGCTAGCTAAATTACCTTCTCTCATCTTTTGGTCTAGTTCGTCCAAGGTCGGTTCAATCAACTCCCAGCCATCCGGAGGTGGCTTCCTGCTCCTCTTCACTTTCGGCATTGCGTTTAATCAAATTGATTATAAACAACCACAAAAAAGACAACAAACCCTATTCCCCGTCCTATGTTTGTGTGTTGATTTCGTAGGCCTGCTCACGGTCGCTTCTTATTGACGTCACAGACATGGAGGGGTCTTTCGACTCAGCTCAATCGTCGCATGAGATATACGTCACTCAATTCCATTCAATGGGGCTTTTGCCGCGTTCAAAACAACTGGGAACTCGGAGATCTCCGACTTCAGAACGTTCAAAACAACTGGGAACTCGGAGAAAAAAAACGAGCTCCGACTGGGAAAAATCGATTTGAACGGTCATCCAACTCGGGAAATCGGGCCTCTTTCTAGAGCTCCGACTTTCCGACCTGAAGATCACTGATGCCATGATTTGACCTGTATTTTTCCGAGTTCCCAGTTGATTGGAACATGGCATTTATTGGCATGGGAAACGCCTTCTTCTCACATAAAAACATGTATCCGATTAATTTGCCACATTTGATGTGTCAATTGCCTATGGATAAAGTGTTTGTTATTAAAGAAGTGAAACAATTAACTGACACAGTTACGCACCTTCAAACTTTGTGCTGAAACGGAATTAGATGTGTTGCTCTCAGTGGTTTTATAGCGCATCAGGTTAGTTACCTGAATCAAACGATTTAGGCCCACTCTGTTTTTTCAATTCATGATATATGATTCACTGACGTTCTCCATTAAAAAATGTTTTACACACCCACATATATTTTTATAATGAAAAAAAAGTATAGAAAAATAAATGTCATTGTTTTCTGACAGGCAATTTGGCGGCCGACTAAGTGCTGTAGAAAGGAGACGGGGCTGTTTCTAGGTGGCGGTAATTCTCCCTGTCTATCTTGTAGCTCCATACGCTGGTTACGCCAGGTAGTGGCGGTACACCAACACAAATGTTGCACACATGCACTGAATCGTTCTGATAAAATCCCGTACTGCTAAAGGAGTAAAAGATAGAAGACCCACTGAAGAAGAAGAATGTGTCTGTTTCTGCTGTCTGGGTTTTGAGAGCGAAGACAAATTGGACCAGGTGACTTATCCTTGTGCGGAGGAAGACTCACGGTCAAGTGCACGCGAAATAAGTTTTGGGACTGCAAAAAGGGAAAACATCTCGACAAACGTCGTAGCGATGCCAGAGTCCCCTGGTGCAAACCAGGAATACGGTGGAAGTAAAGTTAGACAAATATTCAGTTGGAAAGCCTCATAAATGGCGTCCCTTTATTTTACTAGGCAAGTCAGTTAAGAACAAATTCTTATTTACAATGACAGGCCTACACCGGCCAAACCCGGACGACGTTGGGCCAATTGTGCCCCGCCCTATGGGACTCCAAATCACTGCCGGTTGTGATACAGCCTGGAATCGAACCAGGGGGTCTGTAGTGACGCCTCAAGCACTGAGATGCAGTGCCTTAGACCGCTGCGCCACTCGGTCTGTAGTGACGCCTCAAGCACTGAGATGCAGTGCCTTAGACCGCTGCTCCACTCGGTCTGTAGTGACGCCTCAAGCACTGAGATGCAGTGCCTTAGACCGCTGCTCCACTCGGGAGCTTTGCCCATGACAGTCTACAATCCAAGGTTACTCCAAGCAGTTTAGTCTCCTCAACTTGCTCAATTTCCACATTATTCATTACGAGATGTAGTTGAGGTTTAGGGTTTACTCAAAGCCAGTGGCATGTCGTTTAGTAAAGACTGAAAAAAGTAAGGGGCCTAGACAGCTGCCCTGGGGAATTCCTGATTCTACCTGGATTATGTTGGAGAGGCTTCCATTAAAGAACACCCTCTGTGTTCTGTTAGACAGGTAACTCTTTATCCACAATTATAGCAGGGGATGTAAAGCCATAACACATACGTTTTTCCATCAACAGACTATGTGTCACGTCTCCTCCCGTTGCTCCCCTCCGGCGCTCTGATTCGCCGGTCTACTGAGCCACCGGTTCTGAGCGCACCACCTTCGGCAAACACCGGAATGGAAACCCAACGCACCCTAATCACCTCCAGCGCACCTGCACCTCATCACCACCCCTATTTAGCCCTGGACTGTTCTGGATTGTGTTGTGTGTGATTGTTTAGCTTCGTGTCCTTTACTCTCTCTTTGTTGTTCTCTTTCTCATTATTAAGTAAACCTTGACCTTGTTAATTCCTGCGTCTGCCTCTACGTATATCAGTACTCATCACACTATGATCGATAATGTCAAAAGCCGCACTGAAGTCTTAACAAAACAGCCCCCACAATATTTTTTTATCATCAATTTCTCTCAGCCAATCATCAGTCATTTGTGTAAGTGCTGTGCTTGTTGAATGTTCCTTCCCTATAAGCGTGCTGAAAGTCTGTTGTCAATTTGTTTACTGTAAAATAGCATTGTATCTGGTCAAACACCATTTTTTCCAAAAGTTTAATAAGGGTTGGTAACAGGCTGATTGGTCGGCTATTTGAGCCGACCAATCAGCCTGTAGAAGACAAGAGAGGACTTAGAGGAGAGGAGGATTTCAGCGTAGAAGACAAATCAAATCCTAATTTTATTTGTCATATGTGCCGAATACAACAGCAATGCAGTTAAGAAAAATAAGAGTTAAGAAAATATTTACTAAATTAAATAAAAAGTAACACAATAACGAGGCTATATACAGGGGTACAGGTCCTGAGTCAATGTGTGGGGGTACAGATTAGTCAAGGTAATATGTACATTTACATTTACGTCATTTAGCAGACGCTCTTATCCAGAGCGACTTACAAATTGGTGCATTCACCTTATGATAGCCAGTGGGACAACCACTTTACCATTTATTTATTTTTGTTTCATTTTTTATATATTTTATTTATTTCATTTTTAAATTTTAATATTAGTATTATTTATATTTTTTATTTTTAAATATATTTAAAAATATATATATTTTTGTGGGGGTGGGGTAGGGGGGTGGGATAGAAGGATACATGTAGGTAGGGGTAAAGTGACTATGCAAGATATAAACAGTGAGTAGCAGCAGTGAAAAAAAAAAGGGGGGGGGGGGGGGGGGTCAATGCAAATAGTCCGGGTGGCCATTTGATTAACAATAATCTTATTTTTTTGAACTGTCCAGCAGTCTTATGGCTTGGGTTGGTAGAAGCTGTTAAGAAGCCTTTTGGACCTAGACTTGGCGCTCCGGTACCGCTTGCCGTGCGGTAGCAGAGAGAACAGTCTATGACTTGGGTGGCTGGAGTCTTTGACAATTTTTAGGGCCGCCTTCTGACACCGCCTGGTATAGAGGTCCTGGATGGCAGGGATCTCGGCCCCAGTGATGTACTGGGTCGTACGGAGAGGAGGATTTCAGTCTAGAAGAGAGAGAGGAGTTGGAGGAGAGGAGGATCCATCCCTGAGAGAGTAGGTAGTGATTTGACTTGATAAAGGACATTTAAAACACACAGCCATGTTCTCTCTGTCATCAAGTGTTCTCTGACATACATTCACTAAAGTTCTAAACCCTGGCAATAGGAACTTTCCTAACTTTCGAATTAAGTTAAAAAAAAAAAAGATCCCTTCCCGGGTGAAACGGGATACCCCAGGGTGCAAATCAAGCGTACCCTGGAACTAGGCCGGTTAACAGATACCGCAGTATGTTGAGCTGTCCTTTTCTTCTGAGTGATGAAGGCCTGGCTGGCTTGTGGGTAAAATAGTCAAAAGAACATTAAAAACATTTTTAATTGTAAGAGAGTCCTGCCTATTGATCTTTTCCGTGGAGCCAGCGCAAGATAAGGGTAGAAAAACGTACCTCAATGCAGGGACGGGACATGCCACTGCACACCATATGTTACCTTTATCCACACTGCTCCATTGAGAAGATTGAAATACTGCTAATTTTCCCGGAAAACTGCCCTTTTCGTCCTCGTGCTAGCTAGCAGTATTCACAGCAGCCATTATGGATGTTGTGTTGAACAACAAAAGAGCTGATACTGCCTTTTCAAAATGGCTGCGGTGGCTACTTGCTAGCTAACATGAGGACGAAAAGGGCAGTTTTCCTGGAAAACGAGCAGTGTGAATAATGGTAACATTTGGAGTATGGTGGCATATCCCATTGAGTTACCTTTTTCCAACCCATATCTCAAGCCCGCTCCATGGTGTCTTAATGTAACCAATGATTGCATTCTGACCCCAGTGCAGCTCTGTGTAAACAAGCATAATGGTAGGGTCGGCATCTTCTGGCAAGTTCAAATCCAGACACTCTCATAGATCGATGATGGTCCTCTGTAGCTCAATTGGTAGAGCATGGCGCTTGTAACGCCAGGGTAGTGGGTTCGATTCCCGGGACCACCCATACGTAAAAATGTATGCACGCATGACTGTAAGTCGCTTTGGATAAAAGCGTCTGCTAAATGGCATATTATCATTATTATATTATTATCGATTACTCGGGCTTTTAACCCCAGGTCAAAGGTTGGGGTTCAACCAGCGCGCGTTCTGGAGGCAGGAGAAACAAGATGGCAGATCAACAAGACAAACTGACTTGTCTTTAGTTAACGAACTTTTCCACAGTTGATTTTCTACACATTCAAATATACAGTCAGCTAGCCAAGCAATCTAGCGCCCACGCCTCTTAATCGTTGATTTATTAGCTACCTAGCTAGATTTCCGCAGGTTAGCTGATCGCCAACTGCCGTTAAGACTGCTAGCTAAGCTAAGCTAAGCTAGGCTAGCTAGCTTGTTTCTGTCTGGTCGGAGTGTAGTGAGACCGCCAACATGCAGGACCTGATAGCCACCGTGGACCACATCAAGTTCGACCTAGAGATAGCTGTGGAGCAGCAACTGGGGGCGCAGCCTCTCCCCTTCCCCGGGATGGACAGTAAGTAGCCGCTACTTACTAGCCAGTTAGCGAACGATAGCTAGGTATTGTAGTTTTAGCAAGGTAGCTAAGCTAACTTGGCTAGTTAGTTTAGCTAGCTAGCTAACTTCTAAACTGATTTCATAGTTGGGTGTTTTTTTTTTTGCAGAGTCCGGGGCTGCGGTGTATTAGGGCTATGTATTGTATTGTATTGTATTGTAACTCCTTGCCCTGTGGTTATGCAGAGTCCGGGGCTGCGGTGTATTAGGGCTATGTATTGTTTTGTATTGTATTGTAACTCCTTGCCCTGTGGTTATGCAGAGTCCGGGGCTGCGGTGTATTAGGGCTATGTATTGTTTTGTATTGTATTGTAACTCCTTGCCCTGTGGTTATGCAGAGTCCGGGGCTGCGGTGTATTAGGGCTATGTATTGTATTGTATTGTATTGTAACTCCTTGCCCTGTGGTTGTCCAGAGTCCGGGGCTGCGGTGTATTAGGGCTATGTATTGTTTTGTATTGTATTGTAACTCCTTGCCCTGTGGTTATGCAGAGTCCGGGGCTGCGGTGTATTAGGGCTATGTATTGTATTGTATTGTATTGTAACTCCTTGCCCTGTGGTTATGCAGAGTCCGGGGCTGCGGTGTATTAGGGCTATGTATTGTATTGTATTGTATTGTATTGTAACTCCTTGCCCTGTGGTTGTGTTTGTGCAGAGTCCGGGGCTGCGGTGTATTAGGGCTATGTATTGTATTGTATTGTATTGTAACTCCTTGCCCTGTGTTTGTGCAGAGTCCGGGGCTGCGGTGTATTAGGGCTATGTATTGTATTGTATTGTATTGTAACTCCTTGCCCTGTGGTTGTGCAGAGTCCGGGGCTGCGGTGTATTAGGGCTATGTATTGTATTGTATTGTATTGTAACTCCTTGCCCTGTGGTTGTGCAGAGTCCGGGGCTGCGGTGTATTAGGGCTATGTATTGTATTGTATTGTATTGTATTGTATTGTAACTCCTTGCCCTGTGGTTGTGTTGTGCAGAGTCCGGGGCTGCGGTGTATTAGGGCTATGTATTGTATTGTATTGTATTGTAACTCCTTGCCCTGTGGTTTGTGCAGAGTCCGGGGCTGCGGTGTATTAGGGCTATGTATTGTATTGTATTGTATTGTAACTCCTTGCCCTGTGGTTGTGCAGAGTCCGGGGCTGCGGTGTATTAGGGCTATGTATTGTATTGTATTGTATTGTAACTCCTTGCCCTGTGGTTGTCCAGAGTCCGGGGCTGCGGTGTATTAGGGCTATGTATTGGTTTGTATTGTATTGTAACTCCTTGCCCTGTGGTTGTGTAGAGTCCGGGGCTGCGGTGTATTAGGGCTATGTATTGTTTTGTATTGTATTGTAACTCCTTGCCCTGTGGTTGTGCAGAGTCCGGGGCTGCGGTGTATTAGGGCTATGTATTGTATTGTATTGTATTGTATTGTAACTCCTTGCCCTGTGGTTGTGCAGAGTCCGGGGCTGCGGTGTATTAGGGCTATGTATTGTATTGTATTGTATTGTAACTCCTTGCCCTGTGGTTGTCCAGAGTCCGGGGCTGCGGTGTATTAGGGCTATGTATTGGTTTGTATTGTATTGTAACTCCTTGCCCTGTGGTTGTGCAGAGTCCGGGCTGCGGTGTATTAGGGCTATGTATTGTTTTGTATTGTATTGTAACTCCTGCCCTGTGGTTGTGCAGAGTCCGGGGCTGCGGTGTATTAGGGCTATGTATTGTATTGTATTGTATTGTAACTCCTTGCCCTGTGGTTGTCCAGAGTCCGGGGCTGCGGTGTATTAGGGCTATGTATTGGTTTTGTATTGTATTGTAACTCCTTGCCCTGTGGTTGTGCAGAGTCCGGGGCTGCGGTGGTATTAGGCTATGTATTGGTTTGTATTGTAAACTCCTTGCCCTGTGGTTGTCCAGAGTCCGGGGCCGCGGTGTATTAGGGCTATGTATTGGTTTGTATTGTATTGTAACTCCTTGCCCTGTGGTTGTGCAGAGTCCGGGGCTGCGGTGTATTAGGGCTATGTATTGGTTTGTATTGTATTGTAACTCCTTGCCCTGTGGTTGTCCAGAGTCCGGGCTGCGGTGTATTAGGGCTATGTATTGGTTTGTATTGTATTGTAACTCCTTGCCCTGTGGTTGTGCAGAGTCCGGGGCTGCGGTGTATTAGGGCTATGTATTGGTTTGTATTGTATTGTAACTCCTTGCCCCTGTGGTTGTGGTTGTGCAGAGTCCGGGGCTGCGGTGTATTAGGGCTATGTATTGGTTTGTATTGTAACTCCTTGCCCTGTGGTTGTCCGGGGCCGCGGTGTATTAGGGCTATGTATTGGTTTGTATTGTATTGTAACTCCTTGCCCCTGTGGTTGTGGTTGTGCAGAGTCCGGGGCTGCGGTGTATTAGGGCTATGTATTGGTTTGTATTGTAACTCCTTGCCCTGTGGTTGTCCAGAGTCCGGGGCCGCGGTGTATTAGGGCTATGTATTGGTTTGTATTGTATTGTAACTCCTTGCCCCTGTGGTTGTGGTTGTGCAGAGTCCGGGGCTGCGGTGTATTAGGGCTATGTATTGTATTGTATTGTAACTCCTTGCCCTGTGGTTGTGGTTGTGCAGAGTCCGGGGCCGCGGTGTATTAGGGCTATGTATTGGTTTGTATTGTATTGTATTGTAACTCCTTGCCCTGTGGTTGTGTAGAGTCCGGGGCTGCGGTGTATTAGGGCTATGTATTGTTTTGTATTGTATTGTAACTCCTTGCCCTGTGGTTATGCAGAGTCCGGGGCTGCGGTGTATTAGGGCTATGTATTGTATTGTATTGTATTGTAACTCCTTGCCCTGTGGTTGTGGTTGTGCAGAGTCCAGGGCTGCGGTGTATTAGGGCTATGTATTGTATTGTATTGTATTGTAACTCCTTGCCCTGTGGTTGTGGTTATGCAGAGTCCGGGGCTGCGGTGTATTAGGGCTATGTATTGTTTTGTATTGTATTGTATTGTAACTCCTTGCCCTGTGGTTGTGCAGAGTCCGGGGCTGCGGTGTGTGAGTTCTTCATGAGAGCAGCCTGTCTCAAAGGTAAGAGTATCACCGGGGATGAGTTCTCTGTATGTGACTGCTACAGCCTCCTACACAAGTGTGTGTGTTATACTGACCAGTGTGTGTGTGTAATTAATATATATACACGTGTATATATATATATATATATAGATATATATATATATAGATATATATAGATATAGATATCTATATATATATATATATATATATATAGATATATATAGATATATATATATACACGTATATACACATATATATAGATATATATATATACACACACTGAGTCAGTCTATAATATATATACACACTGGGTCCGTCATATATATATATATATATATATATATATATATATTACACACACACACACAGTTGAAGTTGGAAGTTTACATACAGCTTAGCCAAATACATTTAAACTCAGTTTTTCACTATTCCTGACATTTAATCCTAGTAAAAAATTCCCTGTCTTAGGTCAGTTATGATCACCCCTTTATTTTAGGAATGTGAAATGTCAGAATAATAGTAGAGAGAATGATTTATTTCAGCTTTTATTTCTTTCATCACATTCCCAGTGGGTCAAACGTTTACATACACTCAATTAGTATTTGGTAGCATTGCCTTTTAAATTGTTTAACTTGGGTCAAACGTTTCGGGTAGCTTTCCACAAGCTTCCCACAATAAGTTGGGTGGATTTTGGCCCATTCCTCCTGACAGAGCTGGTGTAACTGAGTCAGGTTTGTAGGCCTCCTTGCTCGCACACGCTTTTTCAGTTCTGCCCACCATTTTTCTATAGGATTGAGGTCAGGGCTTTGTGATGGCCACTCCAATACCTTGACTTTGTTGTCCTTAAGCCATTTTGCCACAACTTTGGAAGTATGCTTGGGGTCATTGTCCATTTGGAAGACCCATTTGTGACCAAGCTTTAACTTCCTGACTGATGTCTTGAGATGTTGCTTCAATATATCCACAATTTTCCTTCCTCATGATGCCGTCTATTTTGTGAAGTGCACCAGTCCCTCCTGCAGCAAAGCACCCCCACAGCATGATGCTGCCACCCCAGTGCTTCACGGTTGGGATGGTGTTCTTCGGCTTGCAAGCTCCCCCTTATTCCTCCAAACATAACGATGGTCATTATGGCCAAACAGTTCTATTTTTGTTTCATCAGACCAGAGGACATTTCTCAAAAAAGTACGATCTTTGTCCCCGTGTGCAGTTGCAAACTGTAGTCTGGCTTTTTTATGGTGGTTTTGGAGCAGAGTTTTCTTCCTTGCTGAGCGGCCTTTCAGGTTATGTCAATATAGGACTCGTTTTACTGTGGATATAGATACTTTTGTACCTGTTTCCTCCAGCATCTTCACAAGGTCCTTTGCTGTTGTTCTGGGATTGATTTGCACTTTTCGCACCAAAGTACGTTCATCTCTTGGAGACAGAACGCATCTCCTTCCTGAGCGGTATGACGGCTGCGTGGTCCCATGGTATTTATACTTGCGTACTATTGTTTGTACAGATGAACGTGGTACCTTCAGGCATTTGGAAATTGCTCCCAAGGATGAACCAGACTTGTGGAGGTCTACAATTTATTTTCTGAGGTCTTGGCTGATTTCTTTTGATTTTCCCATGATGTCAAGCAAAGAGGCACTGAGTTTGAAGGTAGACCTTGAAATACATCCACAGGTACACCTGCAATTGACTCAAATGATGTCAATTAGCCTATCAGAAGCTTCTAAAGCCATGACATCATTTTCTGGAATTTTCCAAGCTGTTTAAAAAGGCACAGTCAACTTAGTGTATGTAAACTTCTGACCCCACTGGAATTGTGATACAGTGAATTATAAGTGAAATAATCTGTCTGTAAACAATTGTTGGAAAAATTACTTGTGCCGTGCACAAAGTAGATGTTCTAACCGACTTGCCAAATCTATAGTTTGTTAACAAGAAATTTGTGGAGCGCTTGAAAAACGAGTTTTAATGACTCCAACCTAAGTGAATGTAAACTTCTGACTTCAACTGTATATTATAGACTGACCCAGTGTGTTAATATGAACTGACCCAGTGTGTGTTAATATGAACTGACCCAGTGCGTGTGTGAATATGAACTGACCCAGCGTGTGTGAATATGAACTGACCCAGTGTGTGTTAATATGAACTGACCCAGCGTGTGTGTGAATATGAACTGACCCAGTGTGTGTTAATATGAACTGACCCAGCGTGTGTTAATATGAACTGACCCAGTGTGTGTGTGAATATGAACTGACCCAGTGTGTGTTAATATGAACTGACCCAGCGTGTGTTAATATGAACTGACCCAGCGTGTGTTAATATGAACTGACCCAGCGTGTGTGTGAATATGAACTGACCCAGTGTGTGTGTGAATATGAACTGACCCAGTGTGTGTGTGAATATGAACTGACCCAGTGTGTGTTAATATGAACTGACCCAGCGTGTTAATATGAACTGACCCAGCGTGTGTTAACATGAACTGACCCAGCGTGTGTTAATATGAACTGACCCAGTGTGTTAATATGAACTGACCCAGTGTGTGTGAATATGAACTGACCCAGTGTGTGTTAATATGAACTGACCCAGCGTGTTAATATGAACTGACCCAGCGTGTGTTAATATGAACTGACCCAGTGTGTGTTAATATGAACTGACCCAGCGTGTGTGTGAATATGAACTGACCCAGTGTGTGTGGTTAATATGAACTGACCCAGTGTGTGTGTGAATATGAACTGACCCAGTGTGTGTTAATATGAACTGACCCAGCGTGTGTGTGAATATGAACTGACCCAGTGTGTGTTAATATGAACTGACCCAGCGTGTGTTAATATGAACTGACCCAGTGTGTTAATATGAACTGACCCAGTGTGTTAATATGAACTGACCCAGTGTGTGTTAATATGAACTGACCCAGTGTGTGTTAATATGAACTGACCCAGCGTGTTAATATGAACTGACCCAGCGTGTTAATATGAACTGACCCAGCGTGTGTTAATATGAACTGACCCAGTGTGTGTTAATATGAACTGACCCAGCGTGTGTGTGAATATGAACTGACCCAGTGTGTGTTAATATGAACTGACCCAGCGTGTGTTAATATGAACTGACCCAGTGTGTGTGTGAATATGAACTGACCCAGTGTGTGTTAATATGAACTGACCCAGCGTGTTAATATGAACTGACCCAGCGTGTGTTAATATGAACTGACCCAGCGTGTGTTAATATGAACTGACCCAGTGTGTTAATATGAACTGACCCAGTGTGTGTTAATATGAACTGACCCAGTGTGTGTGTTAATATGAACTGACCCAGTGTGTTAATATGAACTGACCCAGTGTGTGTGTTAATATGAACTGACCCAGTGTGTGTGTGAATATGATCTGACCCAGTGTGTGTGGATATGAACTGACCCAGTGTGTGTGTGAATATGATCTGACCCAGTGTGTGTGAATATGAACTGACCCAGGGTGTGTGAATATGAACTGACCCAGTGTGTGTGTGAATATGATCTGACCCAGTGTGTGTGAATATGAACTGACCCAGTGTGTGTGAATATGAACTGACCCAGTGTGTGTGTGAATATGAACTGACCCAGTGTGTGTGTGAATATGATCTGACCCAGTGTGTGTGTGAATATGAACTGACCCAGTGTGTGTGAATATGATCTGACCCAGTGTGTGGGTTAATATGAACTGACCCAGTGTGTGTGTGTGGATATGAACTGACCCAGTGTGTGTGTGAATATGAACTGACCCAGTGTGTGTGTGAATATGATCTGACCCAGTGTGTGTGTTAATATGAACTGACCCAGTGTGTGTGTTAATATGAACTGACCCAGTGTGTGTGTGAATATGAACTGACCCAGTGTGTGTGTGAATATGAACTGACCCAGTGTGTGTGTGGATATGAACTGACCCAGTGTGTGTGTGAATATGAACTGACCCAGTGTGTGTGTTAATATGAACTGACCCAGTGTGTGTGTGAACATGAACTGACCCAGTGTGTGTGTGAATATGAACTGACCCAGTGTGTGTTAATATGATCTGACCCAGTGTGTGTGAATATGAACTGACCCAGTGTGTGGGTTAATATGAACTGACCCAGTGTGTGTGTGAATATGAACTGACCCAGTGTGTGTGTGAATATGAACTGACCCAGTGTGTGTTAATATGAACTGACCCAGTGTGTGTTAATATGAACTGACCCAGCGTGTGTGAATATGAACTGACCCAGTGTGTGTGTGAATATGAACTGACCCAGTGTGCGTGTGAATATGAACTGACCCAGTGTGCGTGTGAATATGAACTGACCCAGTGTGTGTTAATATGAACTGACCCAGCGTGTGTGAATATGAACTGACCCAGGGTGTGGGTTAATATGAACTGACCCAGCGTGTGTGTGAATATGAACTGACCCAGTGTGTGGGTGAATATGAACTGACCCAGTGTGTGGG